GGGGGGAGGGGGGGGTAAATGACTTAACTCAACAAAATGGTAAAATACATGCATAAAGATCATGCTCACAAATGAGAACAAAACAGCGTTGGATGACGTGGATTAGAGCCCTGCACGGGCCTCAAATATAAGCCCTAGCCCATACTTTTTTTTATAAAGTTAATTTAGAAAAACGTTTGGAGCATTTTTTTGTTCCTTAAATGCAAGTTGTTTTTCTTTGAAGTAATGACCAGCGGCAGACAGTGAATTGATCATAGCCTATATGTTTGATCAATTTAGCCTTCTCAAATAATCACGACTTGCCTAAAATAAAATCTATATATAAAACAGTTCAAGCATATCACAATGTTAGTTTAAATGTTTAACCTAGATAAATGTGCGCTGTTAAGACGCATTTCCTATCGTTTGTGCGGAGGAGTGGAAGCTAAAGCACGCTCGACATGGAGGCGCCAGTGCTATCACTTGCATTTTTTTCTAACAGTGGAAACAATATACACAGTCATTTTTGCTCATAAAGGTAAGAGTAATACAGCATTCTAAACTGTAAAGAGGCTAGTTTTATTTGTGCACCCACAATATCAACAAAACGTTGTGCTTTTATAAAATAAAGAAAACAAACGCTTTCTGCCGTCTCGGTCTTGAACAGGAGCGCTTCACAATGATGAACCTAAACTCAGCGACTTGCCTCACAGACATGATAAAAATATACAGAACGCTTTAAATTACTACTTTAAAACAAATTTAAAGGATTTGCTGCAACTCAATTTTGTCTGATATGTGAATTATTTATTAGCCTATTTTTTTTATCCATGCAGCAAATGCTTTACAAATTACTTTATTGCACTCCAGACACTTTTAAAGTACTTTTCACTATATATTTTAAGGGGTAGCTTGAATGTAAAACATTGTCATAAATTTGTTGTATTCCCATTTGTAAAATAGCCAACAAATTAATTGTTGTAGGCTAACCCGATCTCATGAAAGTAATATTTCTATGCAGAAATTGACTTTGGCATGCAAAATACTGATAAATTCATAATTAATGGCATGGCTGGTTCGGTCAACCGTAATATGGGACACACAGGCCTATAATAACTGCTTAAAGGTTTGCGGGGCAAATCTCAGGTCAGTCTGAGCGCTCATGGTAGGCACAGTGCGTACAGCCCTACACCTGCAGGCGCCACTGATGCAGTAGATCTTACAATTCTTATGAGCGTGTGCGTGACCCTGATTCGTGCACATGTCAGTGAGCACGGCATCTCAATCGATCAGATGCATGTTAAAGTTGCGTTCATTACTATAGCAAATTCTCAGTCACAAAGAAATATGAGCATTTTGATTAATAGTCAATAAAAATAATAATGCATTGACTTTATTCAAGGCTTTTACCATCCTGTTACCATCATAAATCCAATTTAATAAAATAATGTAAACCATCACTTTAACAATTCAGCAAGTCAGCATCATATTTCTATGGCCTGTTATATTGCTTTTAATCCAAGCTGATAGGAGAAATCATGAAATATAACTAGGTGTAAAATCACTGCATTGGTAAATAAAGCATTTCATCCCATACCTGGTTTTAAAAATTTTTATTAAAACACTGTAAAAATTAAATTTTTTTTGGAATGCTGTCCAGCAGCTATTGTTTGGTGTTTGACTCTGCGCTCTGATAATCTGTGGGGGAAACCAAGAGAAAAAGTTTGTGCAAAGTGTTTTAATAAGGTTAGCAATGCAAAATGACTTAATCTAAAACAGACACTTTCGGTTCATTTAAAACATATCTTACCAATTCAAATATTCTGACCATCTGCCAACATGGATAAAATGACAAAATAATTAAATGTTAACATGTTTGTGCAGTTGTTGTTTTGGGGTAGGCGTCAGTCTTTAGCTACCCTAGAAGTAAAGACAATAATAATTGAAGAACCAACTTACAGTATTTTAAAATATAAGTAAATCTAATGAAATGCACTCACCTTCGAGATCACCAGCCATTTGTACTGGCGGTTACTGTGTTGCAGGTATAAAATCCACCAGTTTATATCCCTAGAAAAAGAATGAATGGATTTAAAACCAAAACAATGAGAGAAACACAGATACATGTAGCCAAGCACAGAAAGTTTATAGTCATAAGTGTCTCATGCACCACTGACACAGAAGACTACTTTTACAACATAAAATAAGATACCGAACCTTACTTAAAACACAGTTGAAAACTTGCTCACTGTGATAGTTCGGCACTCATGTTTTCACCACAACCACGAAAACAACCAAGCAACAAAATCTTTAAACTGTTACCTAATTTTGATGAGCACAAATAATTCACATGAAAGAAAACTAAAATTCTCCTCTTACCTACCAGTCTGGTATGTTAAATACCTTACTTTGGTAGCTGTTTCTCGCTAGTCTTACAACAGCAATCATCTGTTCTCAATAAGACTGCTGGCGATTCCAATAAGCTAGCCTCTCAGCTGGCTCATCCCAATGGCTAGCCTCTCTTCGATGGACCGCTTCTCAACAGTCTCTTCTCTTTGGCTAGCCTTTAAGCTGGCTCCTCCCGACGGCTAGAATCTTTGCTGGCACTTCATCAGATAGTCTGACCGCTTACGTGCAAGATTGCCTTCAGGCGGCAATTCAGAGTTGCTAAAAATCCTCTCATGGATTTCATTCCCCAGTGGAACGCCAACAAAGAAACATCATTTGTCCAAAAAATGAACTATGTGCTACCCATATGTTGCAAAATACACAAACACCAGGACGAGTGCGAGGCCCAATTGTAAATCGAAATGACCAAGCTAATTAAAGTTTTGCTGATGTTAAATTCTTTACAGGTATTTCACATTAATGTTACATTAATTATCCAGTAACCAAGGCTCATTAATGCTTTAACCAAAGGTCAAAGCGACTTTAGGGTAAAGCTTCAAATCTACATCGAGACAAAAACAATGTAGACAAAAAAAAACAACAGCATCAGAACATGCTGTGGGTCTGTCATCAGTCATTCATGCAACTGGGCGAGTACTCACAATTTACCAAATCAAAACACTGACGAATGCAATTAAATAAAAAAACTGGAGCGGTTTATTTAATCTTGATTGGTGACTGTTCACATTAACAAAAAAAAAAGAAAGGAAAGAAAAGAAAAAAAAAAAAAAAGACAGACACCCTACTGGTTCAAGAGAAAAGCCAACAACAATTAAACCCTGCATTAAATCTCGTTGGAATGCTTTGCACTTCACAGACAAAAAAGGGAAAACTACAAACTAGTAAATGTCTTCCAGGACAAGAGTACTTTTTGAAAGGTTTTTTTTTTTTTTTTTTTTTTTTTTTTACACCTTCAAACCCCACCCCCATTCCCACATGATTTTCCTCCACTATTGAACACGTTCTCTTCGCATGGCAGACGTTAATATCGCCACCACACTGCTTGGCTGGGCAGATCTAGGTGTAAACCTGCTTGCTTCTCTCCTTTCCCTGTCATCTCTCTCTGGCTCTCCTCTAAGTACTGTGGCCTGTTGGACAATATGGAACATAAATTCAGTTACACTTTGCAACCTTGCTTTGTCTTTATCAAGAGCTGAACTGGAGGGGAATGAGAAGTAGTAGCACAGAAGCAAACCTTCAGGTCAGCTAAGACTGCATGGTTAGGACAATGGGGATGAGTTTGCATGTGCTGCAGCCAGAAGCTTTGGAGAGCACCTCAAAAAAATCAACATTCGTCTTGTGATACTGGATCTTAGCTTTAGAAGTTTTGAAGGTTTGCTGCTGGATCCCCTGCACTGAAATCTCAATAGTTTTACTCATTTACCGACCAATTGAAGAGTGATTACGGGCTAACATTTGCATAGGTTTCGCATCTTATGAGATGTTTGGACATGGATGAGCTAAAAACAAACTCATGGCTAACTTCAGAGGCCTCTTCCATACGTGGGGCAATCCTTACCCTGGAATCTAAAACCTTCGCCCACCAGAGCCTCCTCCATAACCACCACCAGAGCCTCCTCCATAACCACCTATAAAAGAACCGTGATTGAGATGTGACACAAAAGCTGTGACATCTGTAAAAGTTCATATACTAAATATTTCAGTTAAAATAGTTCCTTAACTGCCGCGTTCTATAGACAAACTTCAGAACATTTCAATGTCCGAAAGAGCCTTAGTGGAATGGAAATGGTTTGAATTCAAATATAATGATTTATTACCATGTACAACACTGCAACGTTCACTCACCGCCATATGGGCCACCTCCGCTCCTTCCACCACCGCCGTAGTTTCCTCCCTTCATTGGGCCGTAGTTAGAGGAAGATTGATTGTTGTAGCTGCCGAAGTCGTTGTAGCCTCCACCACCTCCAAAGTTGCCTGCAAAACTTCAGTGTTATTTGCTACAGAAGCAGCATGGTAGGAGAAATTTACTAGCATATCCTATTACTCGACACAGAGCTACAAAGCAAACCTAGAAGAACAAAAGTAAGAACATGGCAAAATGGTTCACAGGGTAACTGACCTCCACCAAAGTTGCCTCCACCACCACCACCATTGTTGTTGTAGTTATCATAGCCACCGCCGCCGCCACCGTAGCCTCCACCCTGGTTTCCATAGCCACCACCACCTCCGCCACCTCCTCCATAACCACGGTTGCCTCCATAATTAGGTCCACCTCCACCATAGCCACCTGATAAAGAGATGGGAGATAAACATTATAATGTTAACACTGTTGAATGGTCAAATGTAATGTGAATCACATTCTTAAAGTCTTTATACATACCATTCCCTCCGTAGCCATTATATCCATCACCTCCACCGTAACCACCTCTTCCTCCTCCATATCCACCTACAAAAGGGAAAGCATTTCAAAGTTAAAAACTCGTAAGGAACACTGTTGACCAGTAGTTCTCCAAAAGGTGGGTCAGTGTATTATTGAATTTGAACCTAAATTATAATTTCCAATTATTCCATGAATAATGCATAGTATTCAAGTAAGGACTTGGTGACAAAAAAGTTTGAGAATCTCTGCTACAGACCACTACAAACTATAAAACAAAAATGAGAACATATGCAAAATTGCACCTCCATATCCTCCACCTCTGCCAAAGTTTCCACCGCCGCCACCGCCACTACCACCACCTCCTCCTCGCCCGCCTGGATTATATGAAAAGGTTATTTTTACACTTCAGATATTTTGAACAAAACATCAAATCAAGACAGCTAAAATAAAAATTATTCTGTGACGCATTTTATGTCCACTGAGTTATATGCTTTTGCATTTATTTTTCCAATGCGTAATAATTACCTCGTTGATTAATCGACACCCTGTTCATTTCCTCTCTGGAGAGAGCTTTCCTGACTTCACAGTTGTGTCCATTCACTGTGTGGTATTTCTGTACTGTGGGTAAAATGGAAAAAATGAAAACAATGTTAAAAGAAACACACACACACACATACATTATATATATTATATACACAGGGGGCTGAAACTGCTATAGATAGTTGACACAAATGAGCGGCAGTCACTTACTGACAATCCTGTCAACAGAGTCATGGTCATCAAATGTTACGAAAGCGAAGCCCCTCCTCTTATCACTGTTCTTCTCAGTCATGATGTTCACCTCGTCAATTTTACCAAACTGGCCGAAATACTCGCGCAGATGCTCCTCATCCGTGTCTTCTTTGATTCCGCCCACAAACATCTTTTTAACAGTGGAGTGAGCGCCTGCTTTGCACGAGTCCTGAAATCAGCGTATGTAAGCAATTATTGCAACATACAAAAAAAATATGTACCAGTTCAAATGCAATCTCTATGCGACAACCATAATATCTTTGTGTTTTTACCTCTTTGGACATGGCGGTCTCCCAGTGACTGACAGCAGCCCTCGCACGGAATGCAACGACAGTCAGTGCGCAGCCGCTAGCAGCTCGACGCGCTGCTGCTGCTTCTTCTTCTTCTGTTCGCATGGCGGGTTACAGACCGTCGTTCAAGGTGCATACCGCCACCTATTGGGTTCTTCTTCTTCCTGGTGTTTAGTGGCGGATGGCATACAACTTTTAGGTGCATTACCGCCACCTACGGATTAGGAGTGCGGATCAGGACCGTACTCTTCACTAAATTCTATTATATAATCCCGTGTCCTTTAAA